ATAATAAAATATTTAATTATCCTTGATAAATTAATATATAATAAAAATTTATTAAAATTATTTAAATATTTTCTCATGTAGTCCTCACAATCTAATTGTCATGAAGTTTTAATTTTACTTTTCTCTTAAATTAGAATTAATGATATAGATCATTTTGTCAATGATTTAGAGCATGTTTGGGTTAATTTATAAGAACTTTTACTTTTTTTATACTATTCATGAGTGATAAGTTTAAATTTTTATTAGAGAAAAAAATTTAAAAGTTACTTTTATATATAAAAAAATGAGTAAAAAGTGAGTAAAAAAAAGTTTATGAAAAATTTGAATTTAAAGTTTTTGAACTCTTACTATTTAAGGTCTTTTTGAAATTAAAAAAAATTTTAAAAATGTAAAAAAGTTTAAAAAATGTAAGTTTTTAAAAAGAAAATTTAAACTTATGAAACATGAATAATGTCAAAAAACTAAAGCACTTAAAAACTAAACCACTTAAAAACTGAACCATATATGTTCTTAATAATTTAATGATAATATATTTTTAATAAAAATAAAAAATTTTAAATTTGAATTGCATAATATATAAATAAGGTAAATTAAGAAATTAAAAAAAATGTTATTTCTCATTAATATAAAATCACATAATAATAATAATAATAATGTAGATCATTTAATAATAATAACAATAATAATAATAATAATGTAGATCATTTTATTAATACGCACACGCATGGTTCTCCGGGAATCTCTCTTCCCCTCGAGCGGCCTGGCTTGGACACTGCTGTATAATCTGAATCAGAGGCCGGCCGCCCACCTGTCCCTAAATTTTCGAATATATTTTAGTAGAACCGAAATTTTTTTAAATAAATAATAATTAGAATTAATTACAAGAGTAGTAGGAGTGTTTGGCTTTTATGAGATTAAAAAATTGGGTGACATTAAAATAATCAGGAATCGAGTGGACTTTGTTTGCAAAAAGTCCAAAATTTCCTAAGTTTGGAGAATTATATATCTTAATGACATTGATAATACCACTAGGGCAATCCGGGTACACGTGAAGCGGTGCGCCCTATACTATGTATTGGAGGGGGCAAAAAATTGAAAAACGAGGATTTGGCCATGACAAATTATGGAGCGAAATGCATGCTGCCACACATATGCTACTTATTAGTATCTTGTATAATTCGAGGGGGTGAGTTAAATGGGAAAAATTATTAAGTGGGAAGAGTGGATGATGATGTTGTACGATCCTCTCATGATGTGGACTAGTGGAGTATTAATTGAGTTTTGCTACTTACACATCAAATTGATCTAATGTTGGGATAAGATTATATATATGCATTAAATTGATGGGTTGTATGCAAGCCAACCAAAATTTAATTTCTTGCACACTTTATGTCATCCAAGGTATGAAGTGTGAACTAGGGTGATATAGACATCTAATCTTGCACCTTGGTTAAATTATTAGTACTTATTAGAGATTGTATGTAGGTAACATTAATTACTAATTTTTTTTATTAATTTTTCGGTATCCGATAATAACATTATATCTCGATTAATTCAAAATTCAATCACATCGGACCTTATTTGGAAGAAAATTCTTCTAATGCTTATTTCTTCATTTACAAGTTTGTATTTAAGACCTTATTTAAGGAGAACCAAACTTCTTCTACTCAAACCAACAATAGCTCATCAGTAATTACAAACCTTTTAATACAAGGTAAAAACAACTTAAAAAGTAAGCTTGCAATTGTTGCAAATAGCGGAAGGTATAGATATTAAATATTGAGAATTATTATTTTTTATAATCTTAATTTTTTTATTCATTCAATTAATTCAAACTGTTGATCACTATTTTCAAGCTCTTGTATATATAAAGATGCTTCACTTAAGTGTTTATAATAGAGTATTAAAATATCTAAAAGATGAACTGTTAATGACCAAAATAGTTTAGTAAAAACATTTTTAGTGAAAGTTAATTTTTAACTTGAGTTAGCATGATATATAGGCGTCCGGTAATTGAATTTGGATATGATTTAGGGTAGGATTTATATATTTTTTCCAATCCAAATCTTTGTCTTTTTCCTCTCAATAGAAGTATTAAGGGTAATAGATTAAGATAAATTTTTAAACTGTCTCTATTAATAGATTGAAATAACCACCCAACCTCTTAGAGCCAACTTTCGTTATAAAAGAGGGCAATGACAATATTCAAGAAGCCTCCCCTCAGCTTTGGTAGCAAAGCTGTGAGCCAAACTCTTGTAAAGGAGCAACGTGGCCATACGAAATAGGAAACAGCCAAGAGGAGAGAAATATCCAACCCTGATTTACTTTATACTCAGGACTGGAGATTTCTCTCCTTTTGAGTCTTATCTTTGTTTCCAAAGGATGGCCCAAAGTCTCCAGTGCCCATGTTGCTCTCTTTCGGGAGTTTGGCTTGCAATTCCGCTTCTAGAGTTGAGTGCAAACTCGCTGAAGGGTTGACAGTCCCTTTTTTTTTTTTACAGTAAGAAAAAGCTTAGGTAGTTGTTTCAGTCCATCAACCAATTTGAATATGATTTAGGGTATAAGTATAACTCATACTTTTTCCAATCCTAACCTCTAGCCTTTTTCTCTCAATAAAAGTATGAACGAT